AAGGAGCCCTACAGATACTGAAGCTTGTGGATCCTCAGAACTTTGGGGTTCTAGGCCTGGGTGTGTTCTTAGATCAGGTTCCTGCCGTTTAGGGGTTTGGGGTTTAGGGGTTTATGGGTTTAGGGGTTTATGGGTTTAGGGTTTAGGGTTTAGGGTTTTGGGTTTTGGGTTTAGGGTTTAGGGTTTATGGGTTTAGGGGTTTGGACTGTAGACCTGAACTCTAGAATTCACAATCCTAAACCATCAAAAGCCCTGTAAACCCTAAACCCTCAACCCTGAACCCGAAGCCGTAAACCCCCCGGAAAACCCTCTTGGAGAAGTGGCTTCACACTTGTTGGGGTCTTTGGGTGTGCGGCTTTGCGTGCACCAAAGCTCAAAAGCCCGCAATCAGTGTTATGGCTGCGGGGTTTGGGGGACATGAGGGGTTTGGAGGTTGGGTTTGGGCGTTTGCAAAAGGCAGATTTACTTGTGAAGTATTACTGAACCCTGAACCCTAAACCCTGAAATCTAAACCGTCCACCCTGAACCCTAAACTCTCAACTCTGTACCCTCCACCCTGAGCCTGCCCTCAAAACCCTCAACCCTGAAGCCTAAACTCTAAACTCTCAACCCTGAGCCCTGAACCATGAAACCCTAAACCCAATCTCAGCAGCTTCTCAACTTTAGTGTGATGTGTCCGTGTGTGTGCATGGCCTAGTCCCCCAAGTATCTTCATTCCTCACCACTCGAGCCACATGCCTCGCCTGGTTCTGTCCGAGTGTGAGCGCCGAACCCCCCCTAAACCCTAAACCCTAAACTCAACCTAAACCCTAAACTGACCCTAAACCCTAAACTAACCCTAAACCCTAAACTAACCCTAGACCCTAAACTAACCCTATAAACCCGAAAACCCTAAACCCCTAACACAAAACATCCTGGAACCGCCTCCCAGGTGCCGCTTTCAGCGCCGGCACTTGCAATTGCGATGCCTGCAGCCCTGAAGGCCAAGGGCTGCCTAAGGGCTCCATAAAGGGATCTACAAGGGTTAAGGGTTAAGGGTTTGGGGCTTAGGGTTGAGGGTTTAAGGTTTAGGATTTAGGGTTCTACAAGGGGTTCTGGCGGGTTTCTTTAAGGATATGCCATAAGGGTTCTATAAGAGTACAGGGCGTTTCTTGAGCGGAAGCCTCCGCGGAGTTGCAAAGAATCGAAGGCTTTGGATTGCTGTATTGTACGGCTCGAAGGACTTTATTGGGGTTATTCGGGTTTTAGGGTTGATAATTGGGGTTATAAGTCCCATAAGTGGGGTTATCCCGATCATAGCCTTACTTATGATGTTGCTTACTATGTCCCTTGGCCCTTTAAGTATCTTTCAGGGCTGGGGGTTCGCAGTTAAGGTTCTGTTTGAAATTACCCTGCTTTCTGTTATCTATGAAACTCAGCGTAGCCACGAGTGTTTTGGACAGAATTCGAGTCCCACTGATAAATGTGTAAGTTTCCATGATATTGTTTTTGTAAGCCCTGTACCAGTAGGCCCAAAATGTTTGCCTTAAGCCATCAGTTCGAAAAAGTCCCAGAATACTTCCTCAGTAATTGAGAAGGTTTCCCTCATCCCCTCATCCTCTCCTGGTTCACCGCATCCTAGAAAGGGTCATTATTCCCTTTACTTGCTGACTCAGCATCCGAAGCGTAAAGCCTAAATAACATCCTATGAAGCTGTCAGGATGCTTCGGGAACCTTTGTGGACCCCCCCGCCCCCCGTTGCACTGATAGAAGCCTTAGGCCCTTCGAACAGAAACCCCTTATCAAGGTCTATTATAGGAGCCTTGGTAATTGGGATCGGGTTTGGGGGGTATAGTATACTATAATTATAATAAGAACCCCCCCAAAAACCCTATTCTAATTGTTAAGGCCTCCACAAATTATAGCAACTGTATAGTTCGACCTATAGAAGGGGTTTAAAAGACAAAAAATTCGGGATTCTTAAACGCTAAAACAGAACCTGGACGCTAGGAAACCAACAGTGTTACGGACTCATGCAAGGGTATCATAATACGCAACCCCAAAATCTAGGTTTCTTAATTCGGGGCCCAGGTAAACCTTAAAGGGACGACAATGGAGACTACAGGCAATCCTTAAGCCAAAGGCCCTAAACCCCAAATCCTAAACCCTAAGCCCTAAACCCTAAACCCTAAACCCTTAACCTTAACAGTGCCCTCACCCCGTTCTTGTTGGGTAGCCGCGCAGCTCCGCAGGAGTCGACTCCGTGATGCCCGCCGTGCCGGAGGCTCCTTTTCAGATACCTTAGGGTTTAGGGTTTAGGGCTTAAGGGTTTAAGGTTTAGGGTTTAGGGCTTATTATCGGGTTTAAGGTTTAGGGTTTAGGGTTTATTATAGGGTTTAGGGGTTAGGGTTTAGGGTTTAGGCTTTCCCAAAGGGTCCAAGTAACACGGTTCAGGGTTTAGGGTTATAGGGGGTAGGTAGTAGTTATTGTGTGTAAGTTAGGAGCCGACATAGCTACTAAGAAGCTACTGCACCGGTATTACCCGTCGGGTTTGTTGGCAAGACACAATTTATATGTCATTGGTGTCAAACGAACTAAACCCTAAACCCTAAACCCTAAACCCTAAACCCTAAACCCTAAACGAACGAAATCAAGGGTCGGGCATGGAGGGCTTCAGGGCTCAAGGACGGCTGAGGGAGTCGATGGCATAGATTCTGAAGTCCACCCTTCTGAACAGCACCCTGGTAAAAGAAAGCCTATAAAGGCCCCTTGCAAAAGTGGGGGTTTATTCATCAGAGGACTGTTGGGGGTTGAGGGTTTGATGAAGTCTAGGGGTCAGTCAGGAATATGTTTATATGTTTTTGGTGTTCTTATAGATTTTACATCAAAGCATAGCAAGGGCCCGGGCCGCTCTGTAACTTAAGGCATGTTCTTCGATTCAGGAGGAGGAGTTGATCGATTCGGGTTTCGTGTAGTTATGCCCGCAGAACCCAATACCTCTTAATTAAAGAACATACCTTCAATCAGAATATTAAGGCCCCTATAACTTAAGGTTTATATTCCTTACTTAAGGGGTATTGGGTTCTTTGGGTGAGCCATGCGAGCCGAGGTTGACCGTTATGTAAAACCGAAGTCGGTGCTGTGCACCTCTTCAAAATCTTCGGTTTAGGGTTTGGGACTCAGGTTTTACAGGGGTCAGGGTTTGGGGCTTGAGTGTCGTTACTTGGAGTTGGCCGCAAGCAAGACTTCAAATGTCAAAGACCAAAGCTTGTTTTTTTATAATAGCTTCAGCAAGTGAGACGGCTTCAATCCACAAGTAAGAGCGCTTAGGTGTCCCGGCGGAGGGTCTCGACAGGCTTCCTAGAGGACGGCTTGTCATCACAAGTTTAGGGTTTAGAACCCTAAACCCTAAACTCGAAACCCTATGAACCCTAAACCCTAAACCGTTAGGGTTTAGCTTCTTTACATGGCATGGAATTGGTGCCTGCATCTGGAGGCAGCTCCCGCTGTTGCAACAGCTGCTCCTACAGCTGCTCAGGCGTCTGACCTCGAGATCATAACCAACCCTGACCCGGAGAACCCAATACCCCTTAATTAAGGAATATGCCTTAGGTTTAGGGCTGTAATATAATGATTTAGGGTATACCCTTTAAAGGGTATTGGGTTCTCTGAGGACTTCCTTAACCCCTACAACGAACACCGGTAAGTTGGAACACGGGTTTAGGCTGATTTTTGCAGGGACCCCTTAGGGTTTAGGGTTTTGGGTTT